ACGTGTGGTTTTTGAGGCTGGAAAACAAGAAACTTAAAGCAGAAGTTGGGGGGGCGTCACCGTGAGCCTGGCAGCACCCCGCTTTGCATGGGGCCTTTTAAAGTGGACTCGAAACCTGAATTCACGTTTTCTTCTTATCTTGTACAGCACGTTTGCAGTGTGTGGTTTTCATAATCCATGCAACTTTTCATGTTAAAGGGGAAAAAAAAACCACAAACAAACAAAAACCAAAAACAAAACCAAAAAAAAATCAGACCCCAGGTTCAACAGGTTCTCAATTTACCTACTGGAATATTTCATCTTAGTGTGTCCTTTGTACATTCCTCATTTTCACTCTTGTAATCTGCCAGATATTTAATTTTTTTTATTAGTTGTTTTGTTTTGAGTTTGTTTGGGGTTCTTTTTTTTTTTTTTTTTTTTTTTTTTTTTTTTTTTTTTTTTTTTTACTTTTGTATTTTGTCCTTGTTCAGACTTGGCATTTCCTTTCGAGGAATTTTTGAGGAATTTTCCTTTTTTCCTCGCTCCGAGGCATGCACGGACCGTTTCTCACGTCCCTTAGCCACATCAACGGCTTGTGTGCGCTCCGGACTCCTGAAAGAGAACTGCATTGCAGCGGGGTTTAGGAAGGTTTTAGGCACGTTGTAAAAAGGGTTTTGGGGAGGGAAGAAGAGCAGCAGCTAGAGGGGAATAGCAGGGAGTGAAGGTAGATTTTTCTTGTTCGTGTTGCCTTTTGGAAATGAAACGCCTTCCGTGGGGAGGCGGGACTGGAGGCGACCAAGGGTTTATTGCATGTTGTAGAGAGTTAGAGCAAAGGACACGTTTGCAGCTGAAGAGGTGTAAGGACAGAGGAGAGCAGTGGTTGTATATACTCCTGACGGCGACGCTGCCACGTTCTAGCGGTCCAAAGATTCGGCTGAGAGACACTGGCGCTGTAACTGCACTGCGAAGTGGTGACGGCCTTGAGTGTGGCCAACAGGTTGTTCCTGTCCAGGGGAAGGACGAGGACCGTGAGCCCGGCCTTGAGCGTTACCTGAAATCTCCGCTCGAGGAGCCACGACTCCCCTGCAAAAGGTCGTTGCCTGACGTGTGGCCGGTAACGTTGGGAAGGGAAAGAGGGTGTACATAGACACAAGCGGATGGTTCTCTGTAAATGTGTTGTATAGTTTTCAGTGCCAAGTACAATTAAATTCCTGACAGCCTCTTGCCTGCCGCGTCCGAGTCCCTCCTCGGGGGGAGATAAGCGCCTTCCCGCGCTCCTCTTGGCCCCGCATTTATCCAAACCCCTTTTTTACTGTCCAGGTTCCTCCTTGCGCTGCTGCGCCCCGGCAGGACCCGGGCTGGTGGTTTACAGCTCTGTGCTGCCATCCTGCCTGTAAAGTGGGGTGCAGCTGCCTGACTCACCCCGGCACTTGAATTGCTCTCCTCGTTTCTAGGGGGAGAAGGGAGCAGTGGCGTTAATCCCTGCCCTCCTGCAGCCTTCCTAAACGGTCCCCGTTTAGCAAATAATTCAAAATCCTCTCCTTAGATCAACCTTCAGAAGCAGCCCCAGGGTCCTGCTGGGGAGGGAAGACACAGCTCTCCTCGCAGGGACAGGGTTTAGAGCTGAGCTTTGCCCCAGAAAGCTGAGTTTTGAGCTGGAGCATTTTTTTTTTTTTTTTTTTTTTTTTTTTTTAAATGGCAAAAGACATTAAGCTGCCGCAGCACCATGGCTCGTCCTCAACACAGAGGAAATCCTGCAGAGCGCCTGCTTCTCCTCCCCGTGTCAGGCCGAGCCCAAACCTCTGTCTGGTCGTCCTATTGCCAACAGCAAATGAGCCAAGAATTTCATTTCACTTTAAAAGTAATTCCCTCCCCCGCCAACTCCCGGTGGTTCCTATCCCTGCTCCAGGAATGCACAGACCGCAGCCGGCTGACTCCTCAGGCCCGGCTTTGCTAGACTAAACAAGCCGGGTTTTTCTGGTTTCCTCCCGTGCTCAACTCCCTCGTGTCCTGCCCTCTCCTTGCCTGAGCTGCTAAAGCTGAGCCCAGACCCCCCCCTTCCCACGCGCAGGGTAGGGGGACCTCGGGGTGAAATCCCAAGGGCAGACCATCCTTGCCGTAGTGATGTCCCCATCGTGGCCAGCGAAAGGGAAGGTGGCCGTGCCACCCCCGCCTTTGGCAAGCAGCTCCCTGTATTTACCTCTGGGGATCCTCCCGGGTCGGGTGCTGCGTGCGGAGCCAAGCACCTGCCCTGGTTTATAGGTGAGACCTTCCTGGAGTCGGGGTCGGGGTGGGGCATGTCCCCAGCATCTCCTCAGCACCCCGATCCCTCCCTCCTCCACCACGGTGACATCTGGGAGGCCCAAAAGCAGGACCCTTTGTTTGGGCTAGAAAAGCTTGACTTTAGGAGCTGCCTTACAGACCCTCCAGTTCACCCTCTGCTTTAGAAAACGCCGTTAAAACAACATCTTAAATAAACCACAAAATTTTACGCCCGGCAGCTGGCAACCCCTGGAGCCCCCCACAGCCATCGCGGGATCCTGTCTAAGCTCAGCCTCTCCAAAATCCCGTTTTCCACATGAAACCCCGATGTGATTTATGCCAGGCTTTGCGGAGGTTCCTCCCCATCCTCCCAGACACAGGCAGGGCCGTGGCCCCGCAGAGGTTTCCGTGTCGGAGCGGTTTCCCTCTTCGCCTCCCAAACTTTCTTTTTTTTTTCCACAAATTCATCATCTTCCCCCTCCCCAGCTCCACCGCCTCGTCTGCAAATGCAAACCCAGACATCACTGCACACATCTGCGCACATCTGGGCTGGCGTTTCGCTCGGGATAATCCAACTGGGTGCTTTTAACCATCTGGTCTGGGTTGGGTTTTTTTAAGCCGTTACCTGGATCAGGCTCAAAGCCAGAGGCGGAGGTTGAGCGGGGCGAAGCCGCCCGCAAAACTCAGTGTGAGGCTTTAACGTTGGCCGCCTGCACCCGCCTTCCTCAACGTATCAGCCCCCTCCAGCTCCAGCTGGAGACATCCCAGGGCAATCGGCTGCCAAAATCCCTGGCAGCTGCACGCTCCTGCCTCCCCCGCGGTGGCCTCCCCCCTGTCCCATCTCCCCCCCTCCCCAGATCATCTCGGATGCCATAAATTAGACTCGACCCTAAACCGGGGGGTTTTATGGGCCAGTAGGAAGTTTTATTGGGTTAATTATCCTGCCGTGCTAATGAGGGTGGAGTTAAGCACAGTCTAAATCAAGGGCTGGCTTGACCTTCTCCCAAAGACTGCTGTAAACGTGAGAGGCAATGGGTGCTGGGGGTGACGAGGAGGTAATGGGATGGTGATGGGTGCTGACAGTGGGTGCTGGTGATGGGGAGGTCATGGGTGCTGGTGAGGGAGGTGATGGGTGCTGGTGATGGGGAGGTGATGAGGTGATGGGTGCTGGTGATGGGGGAGTCATGGGTGCTGACGATGGAGGTGATGGGTGCTGGTGATGGAGAGGTCATGGGTGCTGGTGCTGGGGATGTGATGGATGCTGGTGCTGGGGATGTGATGGGTGCTGTTGATGGAGAGGCGATGGGTGCTGGTGATGGGAAGGTGATGGGTGCTCACAATGGGTGCTGGCGTTGGAGAGTGATGGGCAAACAAAACCCCCAGCAGCTCCCAGCTTCGCTCAGCACCAAGGGACACCCAGGACAGAGCAACCCCTTCATCCTTAGCAAAGTGACCCAGGGTCCTCCCCCACCCAGCCCACCCTCGTTTTGGGGCTCAAACACCTCCCCCCATCGCTTGAACAAACACCTTAAACCTCCCGGGCTTTGGAAACACGCAGTTATCTGTTGGTGTTTGCTTCTCCCAGCTGGGTTCCAGCCAGCTCCCCCTCCTCTTGGCTCCTTGCTTGGCTGCCCAGGGCTCTCTCACAGCAATTTTGATTCAATCTTATTAAATCTGGAGCAGAACAGCAAGCGTGGGCAATTAGACAGGCAATTAGTGAGCAGCTTGTTGCCCAAGAGGAGCTGCCAGGACCTCCCCTCCCCGAAACGCGCTCCCGGGGCGAGTAGTGCTGTGCCTCTCGCCAGACAGGTTCCCGCCACCGCTCGGCTGGTGTTTTACGTGCCCAGAGTTTTTTCCAGATGAGATTTTCCTCCAGACAATGATCCCCTCCCAGACTTTGTCCCACCTGGAGGCCCCATTTCCCACGTGTTCCTCAACTGTCCCATGAACTGGCTTCTGGTTTCTGGCCTTCCTGCAAATTCCACGGCCCTCATTCCTCACTGGGTTATACTGGGGCGAACTGGCAGGATTTTCTTGTAGCCAAGAAAGTCAAACTCTCTTTTGCTTGTGCCTGATCGTCTGGTCCATTCGCTCCTTGGCCCAGCTGGTGGAGGTGGCTTGGCTGTTATGGGCACGTAGGGAAGAGGGATGGATGGTTGGAGGGACAGGTAGGTGGATGGATGGATGGATGGATGATGGATGGATGGATGGATGGATGGATGGATGGATGGATGATGGATGGATGGATGGATGGGCGGGCAACTGGCTGTATGGGTGGATGGACAGATGATAATGTGGTTGGGTGCACGGATGGACTCACAGACGGATGGTTGGGTGGATGGGCGGACAGATAAATGAGTGGAGAGCTGGATGGAAGGTTGTGAGAACAGATGGATGGACAGTTGGACAGAGAAATAGCCCTCGTCATCATTTGTCTCTGAACTCTCATGTACTCCCGGCTGTAGGAGATGAGTAAAAATGAAAGCAGGCCATTACAATGTGGTTAACCCGCACTCAGCCCCGGGATTAACCCCTGACTAACCAGGGCAGGACTCCTGACTGCTCACCTGATGCACCACCACGTCAGCAGCCCCGGGGGCCGTGGGGCCGTTCTCAGGGAGCCCGGAAGAGGCGTCACGGCTGACTCAGGTCTCCGTCAGCGCAGAGCACATCGGCCCCGGGCAGCCGGGCTCTGCCTGGACCTGCACAAAGGGACCCTCCCTCGGCAGGTTTGACCCACTGCCAGCATCGTGGTGGTGGCCCTGGGGCTGGGGAGACTGGGGGGGTTGGGGGGCGGTGGGGGCCCTCTCAACCCCCCCAACGCAGTGCTGGAGGCCTTTGCACAACTCCAAACCCCACCCAAATTGCCTTAAAATAACCAGAAATAGTGTGTGTCACCCCCCTTCCGCCTGCCTCTCCCCGAAACCACCACTCTGCTGCAAGCCACAGCACAAATCCCTTAATTAAGGGCATTCGTTAGGAGCCTGTCCCACAAAATGCTACCGGTGGGGCAAGCGGGACCGCAGCCAGGGTGGCCCAAGGGGGCTGGTGGTCACCCTTCTTCTCCAGCACCCCGAAACTCCCCTGCCTGCTCCGCCAGGGTCCAGCTGAATCATTCCTGCTCCATGGCTCGGCCTCTCCCACATGCTCCAGCTCCTGATTCCTCCTCCTCCTCCTCCTCCTCCTCCTCCTCCGGGGAGAGGCAGGTTGGAGGGAGGAGGCCCCACGTGCACCTCCCCACCGGCGCCGCGGCGTGCCGGGGCAGAGTAGCGTGCGAGCGGGGAGCGCCATGGCCGAGCGGCTGTCGGAGGAGAAGATCGCTGAGTTTAAGGAGGCTTTTTCCCTTTTTGACCGGGATGGAGACGGTTGCATCACCACGAAGGAGTTGGGCACCGTCATGCGCTCGCTGGGGCAAAACCCCACTGAAGCGGAGCTGCAGGACATGGTGGGGGAGGTGGATGCCGACGGCAGCGGCACCATCGACTTCCCCGAGTTCCTCTCGCTGATGGCGAGGAAGATGAGGGACACGGACAGCGAGGAGGAGATCCGCGAGGCTTTCCGCGTCTTCGATAAGGACGGCAACGGCTACATCAGCGCGGCGGAGCTGCGGCACGTCATGACCAACCTGGGCGAGAAGTTGACAGACGAGGAGGTGGATGAGATGATCAAGGAGGCCGACTGCAACAACGACGGGCAGGTCAACTATGAGGAGTTCGTGAGGATGATGACGGAGAAGTGAGCCCCCCACCACCACCACTCACTTCCAACCCCATCCCACAGGTAACTCGCTGGGATGCGGGTTTGCGCCCAATCCAGCACCCATGGAAAGTCCTGGACCGGGGGGTCCACCCCACCCCTTTCAACAGCCACCCCAAATCTTGTATCTCCGCCACCCCGACCACCTCCTGCCCTGAAACTCTTGCTGGAGGTTGGAAAAATCTACAGTCATGGTGATTTTTTTTTTTAATTTTTTTCCTTAATTTCTTCATAGGGAACAGAGGTCGTGTTGGTCCCCCAGCCCCTCCATCCCCTACCGCCTTCTATCCACCATCCCAGGCTGGAAAAATCCTCTTTTATCCCAGTCAGAGCATCACCAGCCAGCGTCTGCATCGGATGCGGGCATCCCACCTGGCAGGATGGGGCTTGGGGTGCAGATGGACATGGGGGGGGTAAATCTCAGCTGCCCTCCCACGAGAGGCAACTCTCGTGTCCGTAGAGGTGCCAGTGGCCACCACGCGTCCCCCGGCACCATGCCAAGTCCAATAAAGAAATGTCCCCCCATGGCTGCCAGTGCTTCCTTCAGCTTCTCTTTGGGGTCTCTACTAAAAACCACCCCCCCCAAATCACCAACATTAGTGCATCCCAGCCCCACATCACCCTCATCCTCTTTCCTCCCATTTTTCTTCCCTGCAAACTGGAAAAATTCCCCTTGTGGGTGCTGGGCACCCTCCAGCCGCAGCCCCCAGGGTTGTGGCCATCCCCACCCCAAAGCCCCATCGCTTTTGGGGTCTGCCATCTGCACCCCCAGGGTGCTGGAGGCCCGTTTCTCACCCCCGAGCTAAGAGGGGAGTTGCCAGCTGGATTCAGCCTTAATCCCCATCCCAAAGATAAGTGGAGCAGGATTCACCTTTCCTGGCCGTAATCCACCCCGTCACGCTCCTCGTGACTCAGTTTCCCCACAAAGAGGGTGAAACTCAATTGCAGCAGCAGCAGCCCCACTGCAACCCACCTCTGGCTGGGGTGATTCCCTCTGCAGAGGGGTTTAAAGGAAAATTAATTCTAATTTTCACAAGAAAATTAATGCTCAGTCACTAACGAGCAAACGCAGAGTCGGCGTGAGCGCGGCAGAGCTGTTTTGCGAGCGAACGTCGCAGCTCCGGGGATGTTCAAGCCACCCCAAGGGTTTCACCCCCCACCTCCAGCCCATATCTGGGGCTGGGATCTTTGGCAATCCCGGTTGTTTTCCCGACACTGGGAAAACCAGGCGGGTGCCTGCATGCCAGCCGGCAGGGCCGAGCACACCCACGCTCACTCCACCCCAGGCAATGGCCCCCAGCCCAGCACCCAGCGCCTTCACCGCGCGCTGCCGGCTCGCTCGCGCACCCAACCTGCCTGCAGCTCTGCAGGGGACAAGAGCAGGGAGAAGCTCAGAAAAAAAAAAAAAAAAAAAACCAAAAAACAACCAAAAACCCAAATCCAAACCCATCAAGATTAAGACAAACGAAGGGGTCACACAAGGCTATTGTACCCGAGCCGCTAAAATTAGAACTTCCCGAAAACACGATTATTTATTAATGCCACGTTTCAGCACAAAACCATACCCTGTATTTTTAGGCTTGACCTTTTCTCCTTCTATTCTCGGGTTGTTTAATTACCAGAGTATTTTTTCACACCACTTATCCTGAGCTGGTTTTTCTTAACAACTGTCTTTAACGGGAGGCTGGACCCCGGCCAGAAATGCCGGCCCTGCAGCCCCAGCCTTGGAGAAGAAAGTTTTTATTTGAGATATTTGCCCGTTTCTCCCCCAGTTTAATGCTTGGGAGCGTGACGGGAACATTTCTGCTGGCGTTGCTCGGGGTGGACACACAGACAGACGGGAGGGTCCTATTTGCTTCAGCATTGCTGAGGGAGGGGGTTTTTGCTTCCCAAATCCAGCTTTCCAGGCCCAAATTGCCCCGCCGGAGAGGAAGGAGCTGACGGGGTGTGCAGGATCCAGCCCAGCACTCACACGCTGCCTCCCGCCACGCTGGGCAGAAACGTGACTCACAGGGCGGTTTGGATTGGGCGTTGGTTAATGATTGAATTAATTGAGTGGGTCCGGCTGATGCACTCGGTGCCTGGGAGGTTGGGAGGGGTCCGTGCAGGGTGGGAAGTGGAGGCATGGGGTGGTAAGGGAGAGAGCAGCCATTTGCACCCCAAAACCTGGTCAGGGCGGTCTCCAGCACCTGGGGATGGAGATCACAGGATGGGACGTGGGGTAGAGGTCACCTGGGATGGGTCCTGGGGGATCATCTAGTGTGGGACCTGGGTTAGGGGTCACCTGGGATGGGTCCTGGGGGATCACCTGGGCTAGGACCTGAGGATTCCCTTGGGATAAGACCTGGGGGATCAGCTAAGAGGGGATCTGGAGGAGGGCACCTGGGATGGGACATGTGGGACCATCTATGATGGAGGCTTGGGGGGTTATCTCTGAGTGCTGGGAGATCCCTTGGGATAAGACCTGGGGGATCGTCTAAGATGGGACCTGGGAGGGGGTTACCTGGGACTTAGGATGGGGTTTGGAGGGTCTTCCAAGCAATTGGACCTGGGGATCATCTAGGATGGGATCTGGGAGATCATCTAAGATGGGCTCCAAGAGGACATCACATGGGTGGCAGATGATGGGACCACTTAGAATGGACCATGGGGGATCCCCTGGGGTGGGAGCTGGGAGTTTATTTAGGGTGAGCCGTGGGGATCACCTAGAGCGGGACACAAAAAATTCCTGCAGGATGGGGTGTGGGGGATCCCTCAGGCTGGGACATGGGGGGATCTCCTGGATCCAAACTGTAGCAGCTGATCCCATCTCCACCACTGGCAAACAATCTTCCACCACCTTTCTGTATATTTATTTCCCTCCAGCCTTGCCAACAAAAAAGTCACTGAGGGCTCCAGCACCACCCAAACCCAGGGGCTCAACCATACTCCCCCCAACTCTCCCCTTTTCTTCACAATTCTGCTTCACCCGGACACAGTTTTTCTCTAAATTTATACTTTTTAGGCGAAAAGCAGCTCATGAATCCCCCCCAGCATCACCCACCGTGGGGGACCGGAGATGTTTCTGCTCCAGTGCTGTTGAATCAGTCACAGATTCTCCCTATTCCCTTCTTTTTTTTTTTTTTTGAGCAAAACGAGACATTTTAATAACATTTCAACAACAGGGCGTTAAAAACACATTAATTAAACATTGGGAAAACCATACTGACACCCCCCACAAAAGGGACCAAGGAGCTTTTCTGAGCCCTCCCAAAGGATGTTGAAAGCAAGGGTGGGATTTTTTTTT